GGTGTGACCGAGTGTAAATATGCGCCAATGAGATATAACGGACGATAACACGTACATACGCGTCGGTGACATAGCGGTTAGGACGCTCGTTGACCATTCTTTTATGGTCTGGGGTTCGATCCCCGGCCACTGACGCCGCACTCCTTTAACTCGCTAAGCCAGAAATAATGCTGGTAAAGAGGAAAGGTTGGGCCTGAGGTTAGCTACCCCATCCTGTAAAATAAACATTGCCACAGAAACTTCAAGCCACTAGCTTGAGGTCCTATGTTCTACTGGGGAACGTGAAGGAAAGAAAAACATGTACACACTGGTATTGCTGAATAGTTGATTTGTCCTGACGCGAAAGAGGAAAATCAGAAGACCACCACCACCACGTTCACGAATGGATGGATACATGTATTTTCCAACAAGGGAGATTAACTGTCACACATTAGTGTGAGTGGAACAGTAACCAAGGACGAAAGTGTGCGAATTAACTGTGTAATACAAGAGTATATAGAAAATAACTAAACTAACACACATGAACCAATAAGATGATAGATAATAGGTTTCCAGCCCGTAGGTGTTACGAATGCTTCCTGGAATAATATGAGCGCCGAGTCAGATTGATTCATTATAAATTTTATTTAAATTAATTAATCCCAGCGTGTTAAGAAAATCAAGACAAGATTAATAAAAATCCGAATAAATCTACTGAAGAAGCTGGCTGTGGCAGCTTACACGGTGAAACGTTCAGAAAACAGATCTTGTTTTGATTTTCCTAAACCCGCTGGGATTCATTTAAATAAAATGTATACTGAAGATGATAGAAAGGTGTAGTTTTTCTTATCACCACTGGATGATTCTGATTGGTTGTAATGTCACGTGACAAATGTTCATATATTGTTTATTTAGTTAATCTTTAAATAATTCCCATTTTTAATATTAGAACAAGACATATAATTGGCGAACAATATTGTTGTTGTTTTCAATTAGATCCCCTTCTTCAGGCTTTACATGAATTTATAAGTTTCCAGACCATAGGTATTACGAACTCTTCCTGGAATACAAATACATTGGTCAAACTAGTAGAACAGGGTCAGTGAGTCAGTCAGACTAGCCGAGCATAAAAACCCACCAGTAAAATCTAGATTAGTTCACCCGAATGAGATGAGAAATCTAGAGAATAGTTCAGCTATACCACTCACTACACTACCAGTTACACACAACCATACAATAAGATGATGGGATAGGATGACAGTTTTACAATCTAATGTCACAGCTGGATGGAGCGAGGGAGAGATTGATAACAACGGAAGCTTTGTTTATCGAATCAACTGAAACAGGGGAATACGTGTAATAGGAATGATTCAACACCTGTCGAGTCGAATATCTAGAGAATTCTACTACCCCACTGACAACGACAAGTAGGAGAGGACAAAAGAGAAAACTATAAAAGTCAAGTTTCGAAGTCGTGTGATTATAATTGATGATGTGTATGATTATGAACAATAAAACATTTTGTTCGGAGCTTTGTCATCCAGTAAGTAATACTAATACTGTTTCACTGACTGTGTGGTGATACGTCTAATAAACAAACTAATATGACACAAAATAATTGAGCCAGCAAAGAATATCCCCGTTTCGATAAATTCTTCCTCCTCTTCTGGCTCTACAATTATATATGCATGTTTATATACATAGAATATTCTAGATTAGTAGTAGTCAATAACAATATTAGTGTGCTTTTTAAATAATATCGATTTGTAAAGTAAGATCACAATGGAATCACCACCACAGTTCGTTAAAGATGCTTAAATTATAATGATAATAATAAAGATATAGTAGGAAATAGATTATCAACTGAAATTAGGAAAATTCCCCAAAAATTAAGGATCACTCAAACCAGGGTGGCCAAGCGGATGGGTAAGGATAATGTCTAAACTAACTAACTTCTTTTGGATGCACAAATTAGGCTTGTTCATATGGATCCCAACGGCCAGTCAGCTAGTCTCAGAAATATTTAATAGTCGAACTACGCTTGAGGCGAAATTCCGATTAGACGGTTGGTATTCGGTAAATGACGCTCAAAGACGCCTTGTTAACATCAATCAGTCTTGTGTTGTATTCTTTATCCACAAGATGAGTGAGGTGGAATAGCGCTGTGAATAGTGAATACTAACATTAGTATTATTCTTTTTGTAGATATTGTGATAATCTAAAATATTATACAGTGATATATAAGGCCTGACATATATAACGTCTGACCCATGTGAACTCGAAATCTGATTGAGGCAACACAGTTCAGAACTTTACACAATAATGTATCAGTTCAAATTGTCATTATTTAAAAAAAGTCCCATAAGGAAATTTAAGTGAAATTGCGATAGATAAATGAAAGTCTAATGAAAGAGAAAAAGAATAATTCGATAGAGATTAATAAGGAATTTCAGTTTGTGAACGATAGTCAGAAGTTTTGACATGTTAATATCAGTAAAAAGTTTGAGCATTGTGGATTAGATTAAATAAAGTATAATTATATTTGAATAGTTTACACACAATGATAAGTTTTGTTATTGGTAATATTTCGAGCAAAATTACTGCCCGTGTTCACACCACTGTTGGACAGTATATGCTATCCAGATTTCTCTCGACAATACTAAGACCGACAAGAAACAACTCAAAAGCTAGAATAGTAGATTCATTTGAATTAGTGAGGCGAATAAAAACCACTAAAATAGAGGAGGAAGAAATACTAGTTAGCTTTGATGTAAACAGTCTTTACACGAAAATACCCATTCAAATGGCCATGATTGCACTGAAAGAGAAACTAAATGAAGATAATGGCCTGAAAGACAGAACACAGTTATCCGTAGAAGAAATAATAAAAGGGATAGAATTCTGTCTGACAACAACATATTTCACATTCGAAGGAAAAATATACCAACAAAATGAGGGAGTAGCCATGGGATCGCCTATCTCACCAATTATAGCTGACATTTTCATGGATTATTGGGAGGAGAATGCCCTTAAACCATTCAGATCATCACTAAAATGTTGGTGGAGATATGTAGACGACACGCTAGTAATAGTGAAAAAAAACGATGCTGAGAAACTTTTATCACACATAAACAAACACGTCGACTCAATAAAATTTACTATGGAATTAGAGAATGAAATTGGAGAACTACCCATGTTAGATTGCAAGCTACAAAGAATGACAGATGGTAGCATAAAAACAACGATATATAGAAAAGCCACACATTCTGGAAGATTCCTTGACTATTACTCAGCTCATCCACTCTCGGTAAAACGAGGATTAATACAGGGTCTTGCAGATAGAATACGTAGACTTACAACAGCACCAGAGGACCAGCGTAAAGAAATAAAAGTTCTATTCACAATGTTACTCGAAAACAACTACCCTAAAGAATTTATAAAGGATAATATAAAAAAGAGAAAAAATAGGGTAAAACTGGAGAATAATAAGATGGAAGAATGGAGAAAAACAGTCGTAATACCATATAAAAATGGTACATCAGAGGCAATACAAAGAAACCTCAAAAATATCGGTATTCGAACAACCTTTAAACCGACAAATCTAATCAAAAATAAAATAAATCAACTAAAAGATCCCATAAAAATGATGGATAAAAACAATTTGATTTATAAAATATCTTGTGCTGACTGTCCAACTAAATATGTGGGGCAAACGTCCAGATCACTCAAAATAAGAGTGAATGAACATAAACGCCTAACTAAAGGTCAACCAACAGGGACACAAGCCTACAAAAATCTTGAAAAAAATTCATCCATAGCTGCACATGCATGGGACAAAAACCACAATATCGATTGGGACAATGTATGTATTCTAAAAACAAACATGAACAAATGGAAAGAAAGACTCATAACAGAATCGATATTCATTAAAGTCACACCGGATACATGTAACAAGGGTGACTCAGTACAACTATCAACAACTTGGAATATAATTCTAAATACAAACACATGAATGAATGTAGAGTATAATTCTGAACACACATATGCACACACAAAACATGAATGAACTTGGGATATAATTCTAAATACAAACACATGAATGAATGTGGAGTATAATTCTGAACACACATATGCACACACAAAACATGAATGAACACATATGCACCAAAAACATGAATGAACAAAATAATAATAATGAACTATATATGTGAATACAAATCATAAATGTGTGAATAAAACAATTCCAACAGTGGTGTGAACACGGGCAGTAATTTTGCTCGAAATATTACCAATAACAAAACTTATCATTGTGTGTAAACTATTCAAATATAATTATACTTTATTTTGACATGTTGTCGACAATCTTCTTAACCATTGAATATATTAGCATGCCAAGAACTCTTCACACCATAAATGGCCTAAATAAACAGTTGCAAGAGGTCTAATGGATTAGCACACAGTCCTCTTGTGGTGAGAGCAGCCTGCTAGCCAATTGGTTGACACTAATCTACGTCAATGTCTAGGTCACTAATATTGGCCGTGAGAAAATATGAACAAGGCTGTTTCAACAACCAATCACAGCAAACTTAAACGTGGGCAAATATGATTTGCAGATAGATGGCTCCACTTTCCGTCCGAGGAACTAGAAAACAACCAATCAGAAGACTGCGTAGGCACAATGTGATGGAAACCACTTTTAGTCTGTACAACTAACAACCTTTCTAGCAGGATAAGATCATCCTTCATGAATAGGCGAAGTTCTCCAATAGCATCACAGAAGTGCGAACTCTTACTCTCTCTCTCTCTCTCCAATGACCTTGAACGCATACTAGTCGTTAGCTAACGGGGCACCTGTCATTATCATATCTGAAATATCAAGGCTATTCACCAACTTGTGGGCAAATTTCACCAGATCACGTTTTTTAAGTCCTGTTTCGACAATGCGTTGTTAATAGCTCGTTCGGGTTAGGATTAGCATTAAGGTAAGTATTGGGTTAGGTTAGGGTTAGGGTCAAGGTTATGTTTACGGTTGGGATAAGTGTTGTAATTCAGGCTGGGATTAAGGTTAGGGTTAGTGTTAAGTTTACGATTAGGGTCAGGAGGATTAATGTTTCGGGTTTAGATTAGATTAGCGGTAGATTTAGAGGTGATGTCATTTATTTCAATTTGTTTTATTATCCACGTTTCCCTGCTAAGCAGTCGTCTATCCTCTTGCTGGAAACCATTAACAATTCAACTGAGGGAGCTTTTTTGGAAGGCTGCAAGCAGGATGACGGAGAGAGAGAGAGAGAGAAACGATTCACCGAAAAAACAGTTTATCTGTAGTCATCTCGGTGAATACACATGTACAGAAACTAGTCTAACTTAGCAGTTGATACTCCTCTCTATAACGGGGACGTATTTTCAAGTCATGTGTCAGAGAAAGGTACCCTGTTTATTGTGTTTTTTTTCATGCATTTTCTCGTATATATATATACATACTTCAATTTTTTTTCGTGCAAATATTCCTCATTTGTATGAGGATTGATCGAATGAAGGTCATTCGTGTACGTTCACACTTCCCCTGGGATGCTATTGTTGAACCTTGCCCAGGAATATTCAATAGCACTGTATTCTTCGTTGATGAATTCTGTTAACCTAGGTCGTAAATATGACTTATTGAATAAGAGTTTTCTGCTCATTGTACCTCATAATATTGATGCCGTTTTATTTTGGAATTGTGTTTGTGTGTGTGTGTGTGTGTGCGAGCGAGCGCTTTACATTAAGCTCAGGTTTTCTCTTTCTTTACATAACTGGTCTCCCAAAAATAAGATGGTCGATTCTCAAACAGCTGCTTCGAAAAACTTGAACAGCGTTACGTCACCCTTAAAACTTAAGGTTAGTGATCTTAATTTTTTCCATTTTTTTATTTTTTTATTTTTTCATGCTGAAACAATCTAAATAGATCACAGTTTTTTGTTGCTTTTATATAAAGGATGCGTTGTTTTTTTGTAGTAAGTGGTCTGTTTCAATCCCAGTGGTGTTAACACCTGTAAACTCTTATGCCTCCTATACAGTCCATTGAGAATTCCCAATATGCTCACACACACACACAAATGTACTATCTGTATGACGGAGAAAATCTGTAGCTCAGTTGGATTGATGGTTTTGATGTGGTTCTGTTCTCTGAACTAACTGGATAGTTAATTTGCGAAGCTTTCATCGTCCATCCTACTAGGCAGGCGACATCTTCCTTTGGCGCATACACTTCGATTTGAATTGAAGTGAACTTTTAGATTTTTCCACGAGTTTACTAATCATATCTCTTGGTCGGTGATCACCTTGAACGTGATTAGTTGTTTTTATGTGTTTTCACACCCTCTAGGCTGCTTGTATTGGAATTGATTGTTTCTTCGGCTTGAACTTTCACCCTTTGTGTGTGTGTGTGAGGTTTCCTTCTTATCGGTTGGTAGATTTTGTCTATCTCGATGTGTCTATTGATTGATGATCCACTCGAATACCTACCAGGTAGGCTTTTAAAAATTCTCTAGTATTCTCGGTGTTGTTTCCCCTGTCTGTCTAATATTTGAACGTTGGTTGTCTCAGTCGAATTGATTTCCGTGATTGTCTGTATGCAGTGAGGCGATATGAGTGAGTGAGGGAGTGAATGTCATGTCTTTTCACGCCTAGTCTATGATAATGGATAAGAAGATAAAGGGGACGTCCACTTTGGCCAATGTAGTGTTTTTCGCAGTTATTACGGTTTATTTTGTAGATGATGTTGGTTTTATATTCTTTCGTTGTTGAGTGTCTGTCTTTTGGTTGATATAGAGCCAGCTGAGTGAAATGATATTGTTGGTTTGTGTGAGACGTAAATTCCTAAACGTTTGAAGAGTGTTTCAGTGATTTTTGAGATGTCCTTTATATGTGGTAGGGCGATTTTCTTTGTCCTTTCCTTAGGGGCTTTTGGTTTGAAAAGTTAGCTTGGGGTTATGTGTCTTCTGAGGAAATTCCATCCATTCTTTTGAAAAACGTCCATGAGATATTTTTTTCTTCAATTTTCCTTAAGGTGGGAGTGCTGCAATGAGTCCCGCCTGGCCCTCTTGGATATTGTTTGTATGCAATTCCTTTTGTGTGTTATTGGGTTGTTGCTATTGTAATTCATTATTTGGTCTGTGTGAGTTGATTTCCTATAAACTTGAGTTTCTTTATTTTCCTGTGGTTGTACACTCGACTCTAAGACGTCCAAAAATGGGATTTTGTTCATGGATTCTGTGTTCAACGTTTAGAACTTTTAGAAAGTGTATAACTTGTATACAACAGCTTTATTAGTCCATTTTATTCACAATCAGTGTAGTTGCAAGCGCACATATATCACTCGTATTGCCTCATTTGTACATCACTTAGGCATATTAGTAAATAACACAATGAATCAGGCTCACCTAGAAACCGAATGAAGCCGTTTCCAGGTGAGACTAGGTGGTTTAATTAAATGCCTAAAATTGATAACCCCAGTAGGATGATGTGCATGGTACTGTTAAAGTTCATAAGTCAGGATACCCTGTTAGACCCATCGTTGATTTTAGAAATTCACCTACTTATGAATTATCTAACTATTTAGCCATGGTATTAAATCCCCTTAAGAGGCAGTCAGAATCATCAAGACTAACAAATTCTTCTTATGAACTAAAACATAGATGGATTAGATAATTTAAAACTAGATAATAAAGAGAAAATGGTTAGTTTTGACCTTGTCGATTTATATACACGTATACCGATCATCAATATGGCAATAGAGACAGTCAAAAAAACTCATTTTTGACCAAGAACTCGAACTTACGACGAAAGTACCACTCGAGGACATAATGGTGGGAGTGCAGCTAGCTATGCCTGACTTCCACAGTATTCCAATGGAAAATATAGAAGCAAATTGAGGGAGTTGACATTGGATCACCAATATCCCCGGTTGTAGCAGATAAATATATTAATGGATAGGTGGGAAAACAGCGATTGGAACGTTCACCCCTACCCATCTCAAAATTATGTTGGAGGTATGTAGATGACACATTCACTGTATTTAGAACACAAGATATATAGATAGATTTTTTGAACACATTTACTCAAAGGTGGATGTAATTCAGTTCACTTATGAATTGGAAAGTCAGAAAGGGGAGCTTCCGATGTCAGATTACAGTGTAAAAAGGAAAGAAGATGGGAAGTTAAACACGCTAGTGTGTGTTTACAGGAAACCCACACATTCTAACAGATGCATTAGGACTTCCAATCAGCCCACCCATCCTATATCAGTAAAAATAGGACTGGTGAAATGTTTTAGTGAAAATAGAGCACAAAAACTAAGTAGTACCAAGGAAAATCTAAGACACATAAAAGAAGCCTTGAAACTCAATAATTACCGTGATTAGTCAGAAAACATGTAGGATAATGTTAAAATAAAATAAATAATGATAGTAGTGATATTGATGGTAATAATAGTAATGACGACATTCATGTCAAATCTGCACAAAACAACACCAACAATACGGTATCGAAATCATTAGTAGTAATTCCATACAAGGAAGGAACCCCAGAAACCACCTCACGCACAATTCTCAACAAGGCAGGGAGGAATAAAAGTGGCTGGAATTGAAACCGACCACAGACTCAATTAGAAACGAGCTTTTTCGGTTAAGGGATCAATCCTGTGAAACACCACATTAAACAAAACAAGTTAGTTTATCTAATACCCTGTCCGCAATGATTGTCAGGTCAAATACATAGATGGTTCAAACTAGTAGAACAGGGTCAGTCAGTCAGTCAGTCAGACTAGCCGAGCATAAAAACCCACCAGCAAAATCTAGATTAGTTCACCCGAATGAGATGAGAAATCTAGAGAATAGTTCAGCTATACCACTCACTACACTACCAGTTACACACAAGCATACAATAAGATGATAGGATAGGATGACAGTTTTACAATCTAATGTCACAGGGTGCATGGAGGGAGACATTGATAACAATGGAAGCTTTGTTTATCGAATCAACTGAGAGTGAATACGTGTAACTTATTATTTGGTTGGTTGTGGTGGTGGTGGTAGCCGGTCGAGTTGAATCTAGGACCCATGTTTCGTCTTCTTCCAGACTCTTTATCAGCTTCCACCTGCAATCCTAGCGATTAATACTGTCGCTTTTAAGACTTGAACTCACGAACTGTCTTCTTTTTTTTTAAACGCTTCACTACTTGATGCACATCAAGCTGCTCTCATGACACAATAAGATAACCCCTTAGAATTCGATACGACGTGTGCTAGTTTCAAGCTTCAAACAGGAGACCACCACTTATTAGAGAGGCAGGTGCACTCCGGCATAACGTACTGTTATTTCTACCGCCAGGTGGTAGCATGAACCACCAACCAACATTATGTTTCTTGTAAGATATTATCAAAATGTGCATACTAAGAAGTGGTGACATGCGTGTAACAACAAAAGACAAGGCCAAGCCAAACGGATCGTTTGTTTAGGAAATCAACACATATTTATCGACTTTCATATTGTTAGCAGACAAACACAGTCTTCTGATTGGTTGTTTCTCTTTGTGACTGTTTCTTCAAGGTCAGATCATCTATCTATCTGCTAATTGTATCCGCCTACGCAAACAAAGTGTTCTGTGATTGATTGTTGAGTCAGTCAGTTGTTGTTCTTCTTTTTCATTTCTCATGACCAATATTGGGGATATAAACATTGACGTAAATTACTGTCTACCAATTTCGGCTAGCGGACAACAGAGACAGCTGTCACCATATATGAATAGAAGTCGAGTACATTCAAAGGGGAAATTTGAGCAAAAAAACCAAAAAACAAATGACTTAAAAATAAATAAAGACTCTATACAGATATTAATTGGTGGTGGGTGGTGACTGGCAGTGGAATCCAGTTCAGGATAATGCGCATTTCGTCCTATTCGGGACTCGTCAAGTGATGGTGTTCTTTTCATTCTTTTTTTCAGATTAATCATTGGTTTGCAGTCTCCTCATGGAAATGGTGTACAAATGATGATGACTGTGGTATCTGTCGTAATGCCTTTGAAACGTGTTGTGCAGACTGTAAACTTCCCGGTGATGATTGCCCCCTGGTCTGGGGTCAATGCAACCACTGTTTTCATATGCATTGTATTATAAAATGGTTAAATAGCCAACAGATGGCCCAACAGTGTCCATTGTGTAGACAAGACTGGCGATTTCGTGAATAAATTTCAGTTGGCTTGTTGTTGTGTTATATTTTGTATATGTATATATGATAATAATAATTATTATTATTATTATTTCTTTTAATTTCTAGAGGAACATAGGGCTTCAGCCGCGCATCCCCATTGCGTTTAGTTCCCTGCTAAAGTTTTCATCACCTGGCTCCACGCTTCTGCCCACATGCTTTCATCTCCTCTTCACATGACCTCCTCCAATCCATGTCACCCTCACACTGACGACCAACTCGCCGCTTCCCATTCGGTCGGGTTCCACTCGACCGATGGCTTGTCTAGTGATGTCACTCACTTAATGGTTTGTTTTTTCATAGCATGGCCAGCCAATCCACCTCCATTTCTTCCTGCTTATTTGTTTCACAATCAGTTCCTGCTCTGTTGGTTTACTCATTGCCAAAGATCCCTCCCTGTTGCTGATCTACACTGGCGGCCATCTGATCTTGATTGGTGTTGAGTGAAAACAGTTAGCTGTTGATGAAGGTGTGTAGTTTGTTTGAGGTGCTCTTTATGACGCGCTGGCCAAGTATCTGATCCGTATAGTGAATAGCACTGACTGACTTCACATTGGAGTTGAAAATCAGGATCTTATTTTCATTTTCGTGCTGATTAGTGCTGTTGACCCCCACACAAACTTTAGAGTAATGAAAGCTTGTCTTGCTCCTCCGATCCTCATTGCTTTGATATCCTTGTCAGTTCCGTCCACCTATAGTTGAAACGATGCTTCCCAGTTAGGTGGGTAGGTGGGTGAAGGAGGCTGTTTCTTTCAGGTTCCGCCCATTTATGCTGGCTGATTGTTGCCTGTTGTTGTTTCTGTTGGTGTTGGTCAGGAATCTTCATCACCACCTCTGTTTTCTCTATGTTCACCTGAAGGAAGTCCTATCTTCTCTGGATGCTTCTTCCTCGGATTTGTTGCTTTTCACTTGCATATCTTCCAGTTTGTGGGAAATCAGACATATGTGATCGGCGACGTCCAGATCCCCCAAGTTTTTGTATATATATATATATATATATATATATGATAATAACAGCAATAATCGTTTTATCAATAATAAGGATGAAAAAGTGAGCCAATCTGTGATAACGCTAATAATCAAATATACAGTTTGCAAATTTGTATTCTCAAACGTCAGACCGCCCCCCTTCATCGGATTATGAACTAACTAGGTTCAAAACGACGCTAGTTGACAGCTGCCAACAATACAAAAATAATAGACATTCAGTTAAATAGTCTGTTATCAAAGCAGCACACAGAGAGGCTCTAAGAGAACTTGGAAGCAACGAAAACTTAATTATTAGCAAGCCAGCCAGATAAAAGTATAGTTTAACTGGAGAAAAGTGATTATGTTGAGAAAATGGAAGGTATTTTGAGTATACGAGCTCACCTTGTAACCAGAAGGTCCTGGGTTTGAATCGTACTGCTGAAGAGTCCTAAACTAGAACGAAATAGCTGTCCAGTACTCCCAGGTTTTCCAATGGTTCTCTAACTAATGTCAGCTCATGATGAAATCCTGAAACCAATCAAATCCCTACAAACCAACACTTAAATACCAATGAGATGCTCACTGGCGACTGGCCCTATTCAGGTAGGTAGTTACCTGGGTTCCAGTGGGAAGCCGTGTCCAGTAGGGTGCAGCAGGTCGAGTGTGAGGACAAATACTCGCCAGCGAAGACACTGGCTAGCGGTTGCGCTTTGTCGGGAATTGGCAGAAGTTAGAATTCAAGGACCACTGGATCGAGTCCCAGTGGCTTAATGGTCTACGAGCTCGCCTTTGTAACTAGAAGGTCCTGGGTTCGAATCCCGGTGGGTGCGTACTGCTGAAGAGACCCAAACTAGGACGAAACAGCTGTTCAGTACTCCCAGGTTTTCCAATGGTTCTCTAACCAATGTCAGCTCATGATGAAATCCTGAAACCAATCGAATCCCGATAAACCAACACTTAAATACCAATCTCTTGGTATTTCTAAAGACCTCAATGTAATAGAGCGGAGAAACTGATGATCGAATCTCTCAAAAATACTGAACCAAATAGGAAGGAGTATTATCATCAGCCATATATGATTCCATGAAATCAACGGGTACCAATCCTTCAATGTCTATACGGTGTGTACTCAAAGTGCACAAACTAGGTCTTTCTCTTCGCCCTGTTTTAGATATGTATAACTCTGCATTTCACGGAACAGTGAAGTGTTTAGTTAATACTTTGATTCCTTTGCATAGAGAAATCGTGCAACATAGAATTTGTAACGTATTCGACTTTATTTAAAAAAAATACGAGATTAATCTGAGGTATACAACGTGTATGTTTTCTGATATTGCAATCCAGGAGTTAACTGTGTGACACGTTTGTCAACAATTCGTTCAAGGTGTAAAGTTAGTAAGGAGGGAGAATGACTTAAAAATACAATGCTCAGTTACATAAAATAAAACAATCCTCCTCTAATGGATGCATACCGCCCTGGTCATTTCTATAAGGTGACTTTAAGAGTGTTAATATATGTGTAAAACTTAAGCACTGTGGTGGTTGTAGTAAATAATTCCATATTAGTTTGTTTATTCGATGTATCACACAGTCATTGAAACAGTATTAGTATTTACTGAATGACAGGGTCTCGAACACGATTTATTGTTCATAATCATTTCATCAATTATAATCACACGACTTCGAAACTTGACTTTTAGAGTTTTCTTTCTCCTCTCCTATTTCTCGTCGTCATTGGGGTAGTAGAATTTTCCAGATATCTGAGTGGACAGGTGTTGAATCACTCCTATTGCGCGTATTCTCTCTCAGTTGATTCGATAAACAAAGCTTCCATTGTTATCAATGTCTCCCTCCATGCACCCTGTGACATTAGATTGTAAAACTGTCATCCTATCCTATCATCTTATTGTATGCTTGTGTGTAACTGGTAGTGTAGTGAGTGGTATAGCTGAACTATTCTCTAGATTTCTCATCTCATTCGGGTGAACTAATCTAGATTTTGCTGGTGGGTTTTTATGCTCGGCTAGTCTGACTGACTGACCCTGTTCTACTAGTTTGAACCATCTATGTATTTGACCTGACAATCATTGCAGACAGAGTATTAGATAAACAAATAGAAACAAGGTTTGTTGGAATGATTCAGCACCTGTTCAGCCAGATATCTGGAAAATTCCATTACCCCAATGACGACGACAAATAGGAGAAGACAAAGAAAACCATAAAACTCAAGTTTCGAAGTCGTATGATTATAATTGGTGAAATGATTATGAACAATAAACAATTCTATTCGAAACTGTGTCATCCAGTAAATACTAATGCTGTTTGACTCACTGACTGTGTGATAAATCTAATAAACAAACTAATAGGGAATTACTCTCTAACTCAGTGCCCAAGTTTTACACATGTAGCAACGGTGATCCATTACACAGAATCACTGCATATATCCATCTCACAGAGTTCCAGTCTCATATGCATAAATAGAAACTGCCCACTGAAGCATCCTAAACTCGATATTTGGCGACTAGGATGATGCTGGAGGGGGCCCAAATCGCATGGGGCCACCTTAGATTTCACTATAAGTTTAGAGATTTCCTCCGTCATACAACTACGGACGTACGCGTACTTGTCAACAGCTTCAAGCGATTTACCTGCAAGGGCGAGTGCGGATAGAGGCTGCTGACAGTCTTGTACATGGATGGATGGCACTTACAACACTTTTGCAGTCGCGGACCACCAACAGAGATGGGGTACGGTGTAGCTAACGTGCATGTTATCGCACTGTAAGATGATATTGTCTGCATAATCGAAGCCGAAAAGTCTTTCTCTAGCAGAACGAAAGGAAAATCTACCCCACCACCACACACTCCCTGCAGAGGCGATTTCAGAAAGTCATCGATAGGAAATTTAGATAGAAATGGGTAATAGTAATCGGACAACTCTATCTACCACCCCAATAATATTCGTTGGGAACACTGGTGACAGGTGGGTGAATGCCCTCACTCAAACTGAAATATTTCTGTATAGACCTTTTGAAGATGTGAAAAATTCTCAAGAGCATTTCTTTCTAACAGATATTTTCAGAGAGCAATTATGTTGACTGAATCGAAGGCAGGCTCCAATATTCAGAAGAAACATCTGTCGGTCTACAACAGGTGTGACAGTGTTACACCAACTGATTAAGTCTGAATACACATTACCGATGCATACATGGCATGAATGAAGCCCGACATACTCCTCGCGAATCACATATCCTCACGTGTTATGCACAGTCTGAGAAGTAGAATAGTAACCAATATTTTAGACCTAACTGGTATCAAACTTATACCCCTTATACTCCAGAATTCGTAAAATCTGCTCTACAGAGACAATCGATAATAAACTAGATAACCACCGATCAAATCTCCTTAACAATGGTTATCCTACAAGGTTCATTGAACGTAACATCAAGAAAGAATCCGCCCCTAGACAAATCACAGTGTCAAAGAAAAAACTGTTTATGAGTCGTTATTTGCATGGAAAGATCATAACCAGTTTCTTTTGCCCAGCTAGCATTTTTTTCGGGCGCATTGCAGACTTTTTGGGGCAGACTTAGGACAAATTGCAGACTTTTTTGGGCAGACTTCGGGACAGTGCCCCACGTACGTAGATTTACCCAAAGTTTTTTCCCCAAAATGTTTGCAATGCGCCCGAAAAAATGCTATCTGGGTGAAGGATCAGGTGGTGCTGAAAGCTGTAAAGACGGGTCCAGTGTCACAATCATCTGAGGGAAACTGATCCACATATTGCGGCTAAAACGGTTAGTGGACTTTGATTTGACTATCATGTAGCAGTAAGAAACTACAACTGTAATTTTTTCACTGAAGTGTTATAAACCCCCCCCCTTTTTAATGTGAATATATACTGTTCGACTGTTATTATTTTGTAAATATATGCATTTATGTCGACTACATGCGTATCTCTTAATTATCATTTCGAGGAGATGGCATAGTTAACGAAATTGATCGGCAACTTAGTAATATTTGTGTGAAATGCGTCACACTGGTAAACCGTCATTATTTCCGCATCAAGCGTCATCAAGCC